GTTTTCTTTGCCTAGAAATGCTTCCCCATTCCACTTGATAACTTTCCTTCAAAGCTTAGCTCAGATACCGTCCTTTATGAAGCCTTCTCTCCTACATTCTCCCATACCTACCTTCTGTTAGTTAGTTGTACAAAGTAATACCACTGAAAATTAGCAGCATTATGCCTACTACAAAAAATACATGTCACAACTGCTGAATTTTAGGAGCTCACAATTCTTTCAGATCAAGTTTTCTACTTATAAATGATGGGAAGGGAGTGGAAGGGGAGCGTTAAGAGATGAGAGGAAGCATGCAACACTAAAATATTGCTATATATAATATATATTTCGTTTAATACTCAGGATATTCTATTAGTAGTAAAGTAGTAAAATTAGTATCAGTAGTAAAATTACTATTATTAGTAGTGAAGTAGTAAAATTCAACTATTGTAGCAAAATTCTATTTTCTACTATTCAACTAGTTTCCCACGTAGACCATAATCTCATTTTATAGAGATTTTAAAACATAACAAAGGTTACAAATGGCTGGAATCAGGATTCAAAAACCATCCTCTTTCTACCACATTATGCTGAGACCCCAAAGAGTGGTTAAATGGTTTGCTTCGTCCAAGTCACACAGCTGTTAATAACTGAAAATGAACTAGCATGTTAGGCTCCTGTCTTTTTAGTCACATCTTAATAAAATATATGGGAACCTAACAAACAGTATATACCTCTTAGCCATAGCCAACACTCACTCAAATGTGTTTTTATTATGAAACACTGAAAACAAAGAGAAAAGGAATAGGAAATAGAAAATTGGACTTAACATTGATATTAGTTATGCGGAGTAAAAACTATGATCCCTTATATATACCTAGAAGACTCAAGGTTCCTATAAATACTATATCCTTCTGGTACCCTTAATATACTACTTAAATTTACCTAAGACTTTTCAAAATATTCTATCATAGAAAGTAAGAAACAAACTCATCTTTTTAAAAATGAAAAGGAAAATTATTAAATTAGAACACTAAAGGAAACAATTTCATAGAGCAACTGTATACATTTGGTTTTTTATGTAAAATTAAAAATATCCAATATTAAATATCTATAATAAAATAAAAGGGGTTATAGATTTTTAATAGACTGTTTCAGTAACTATCTCCAGGGGATAGGAAAACTGCTATGTAGCTACACAACCTAACACAAGTAACTAGTTTCCAAGACAGTGTATGTATACTTAAATAAAATGAAGGTTTCCAAACTATGCATTCAAAAACATGCAAAAACTTGGTAGTACAGCAGAATAACATGCTTTTTACACATTCTTGTGTAACCTTTACGTGTGAACAAAATTTGAATGTTAGTTCCAAAAACACCATATTGTGATTATTTTCTTATTTGTACTGCACATGTGACTGGGAATTTCAAAGAACAGACATGTTGTTTGTTTTTTGATTTGGGCATCCACTATTCAGTAGGTACTCGGCAGCAGTAATAACTATCATGAAAGATAGCATTTATTTCGTTCTCACAACCCTTTGAGGCAGAAGCATTTGCATGCATCCATTTTACAGTTAAGGATACTGAGACAGAGGAAAGTTAAGTAACTTGACCAGGATAACAAACCTAGTCAAAAACAAAGCCTGGACTCAAAACCGATCCTATATTTAAACACCATGCCCCTGACCACTATAATATACTATTTAATGAAAAACTAAGTTAATATAAGGTACCATATACAGAAAGTGATCTCATTGCGATCCTATAACAAGAATAAATGTTAGCTTAAGGTCTTTCTACCCTTCCTGTTAAGACTTTCCCAGCATCTATATAGGTCCCAAGTTATAAAAAAAAAATTCACATAGTGACAAGCTAATGAAAAAACACTGTCCAATACTGCAGAAATAGTCAGAGACAACGTACTGGACTATTCCAAACACTGATTCATCAACTTTTTTAAAAGGAGAAACAATCTTAAGTCTTCTGAGAATTATTCTGTTGCCTAATAAATCTCACCTGATTCCTTTTCCCTTTATACAAGGACTATCCAAAGAAATGGAGATAAATCTTCAGCTAAGATAGGGAGTTGTTACATAACAAAGGATATTTCTTAAAGGAAAGTTGAAGTGAATCTCTTTTCTAAAATAATGTCTTATGTGTAAAAACGAATACAAATTTATGTTCAGGAGAACTTAAAATCTTTTTATGGGTCAAAACTTTTCAAGAAATTAATTTTACACAGAAATGCTATCCTGCCTTAATCATAATGTATGAACATAAACTTTTCTTGATCAAAGAACAATAATTCACAAAATGGGTTCTCATTCCAGATCTGCAAGTTCAGTTTCATTAAACATAAAATACATGTTAATAGTCTACAACTAGCTCACTGGATTGCTGCTGGGAAAATGTACATAAAAGTGCTTTATAAGCAAAATATTAAACAGAAAGCAATGCAATTGGTATTGTTGTTTATACTTACTCCAACTACACTCCAAAAGATAAAGCTCACCATTCCTTGTACACTTTATTCTTTTACTCTTGTATAGATATAAAAATCAAATAATTAAATTTGTTAAAACCCTATCTAAAATGAGATATATCGTTGCATGTGTCTAAGTTTTCAGCAAAGACTGGCCTCTATCATTCTGGCTGCATCAGTCTTTTTGCTTGCTTCTAGCTTCCCTGTGTGTTCTGAATAGTTCAGCTGGCAGAAGTAATTGCCAGGTGAAAAACACATGTTACTAGAGTAAGCTTCTAAGGTATGTTTAAAGTATATTTTAAATTACATAAAAATTTTAGAAAAAAGTGAAAAGAATTGGGCTATATATATTACTGATACCGACTGTTTTAACCTTTGTATTATGATACATACTTCCACTTCTGACATATGAGGTGTGATTTTTTTCTTTATACTTCGAAAGAAACAAAAGCAAATTTCGAAAAAAAATTCCCATTGAGATTTACTAAGTAAATCTTGAAGCATCATAAAAGCAGAGTTTGTAATCATCTAAAACGGGGGAACCAAATCTAAGTTGAGATGAACCACCATCAGTTTAGCTTAGTCTTTGTCCCAGCTTCTGGATCAAAAGCTTTGCTTACACATGAAGGGAATGTATTTCTAATAATCATCCTTAGCACGACATAAGTGGTAGAATTTACCTTCACTTACAAATATGTATATTAGAAGTTTAGTTTGTAAGTCCAAAAATCTTAAAGTCAGAAGATGCTACACAGAGGACAAAATTCAATCCCACGTACTTGCCAACAATCAAAAACAGAAAGTTTGATGTTACCATATTTTTGTCTCTTTTTTTATCTATATCCTGATTTTACTTCAGTTTCACCTAAAAAAGAAAAAGTACTTACCTACCTAAATGGTTGTTTGGAGGCTTTAATAAAAAATATATAGAGATAGCTCAGCTAATCCAAACCTGGCACATAGTACCTCAGGATAGCTATTATTACTGTTCCACAGACAAATACAGCAACAAAAACTCCAATTTTCAAAGCTTCAAATTCAAAATCTTTGCTTAAAAAGTAACTGGTCTGCCAGTATCAGAGGCTACCAGGACGTAGAAGGAAGTAGCATGCTTTTAATTAATGTTTAATTTATAACTGACAGAATACAAATCATTTTAATAAAAAAAAAACCTTCTATAATAAGCTACAAATAAGTTAAGAAATAATGAACTAATTTATTAGTGTCAATTTAATTTTCCTTAATTAAAGGAAATATATAATTAATTTTTTTAATTACACATGAAAATCATGTTGGACTCACTATATCCTATATAGTTGGCTAATAAACACTACATTAAAATTTCAAAATTTTTGTCTAACATTGTTTCAAGACATATGGGTCCTTTTAATCTACTCAAAATTCTTCTAGGTAGTAAGATCTAAAAGTAACACTCCAAAAAGCTTGTGTGTCAGAACTGTTCCGGGCCCTAGGGTACTACTATTCATGTTTTATTCATCTTTGCATAGCTACTTAAGCAAAAAACCTAAGATACTATTAATAACGCTGCTGAATAAATATATCAGTCAACAAAACAAGACGAATGATTTGGCTACTTCGAATAATGGTCTTAACGTTATTGCTCAGATTTGAAACAAACACCAAATATCGTAGCCTTTAAAATTACCGACTTTGTTTTGTAATTGCAAAGGGAAAGGAGCTTCATTTTCGTATACAGTTCTTGAAACTCCAGAAGTTAAAAACAAATTCAGTATTCAAAACAAATTTCATGTATATAAATCATAGCTTATCAGAAAATAGAAAACGCCTAGATTCTTAAAAATTTGTTTTCCCAATTGTTCTTATCTATGAATACAGTGGTTCAAGAAAAATATTCGCAAGCCACTGATCATTCTAACATAAGATACTGTTAATTTCACTTATACGACTAAAGAAATTCTCTAATACAGATCCAAATGAAACAATGTTTGTAGTGCTAAGAACACAATTAAGTAATGCACGACCACGGTTATTTGGAATCGACTACTCTCGCCAATCCGAGGATTTCAGAAGGTAAAACGCAGGGTGAGGCATAAATGGAAGTAAACTGCTGGGGGGAGGGGAGGGAAGGGAAAGGAAAAGATCAGAGAGGATTAATTACTGCATTATTTGCGGAAGAAGAGACGGTTGCTTGGGCCGACTAGCGAGGACCCCTTGCAAGGAGGATGAAAAGGGTCCATTTTGCATTTAGAATGGACAGAGTGGGAGGAGGGGCAACTATCAACAGGAATCCTCCGAGTGGAGAATGGGTGCGTCACTTACGTAGCCGCTTCTCGCCAGAAAAAATATGCCCTCAGGACTACCTCAATCAGCAATTGTGAAAAGAAGGGGGAGTGACCTTCCTCGGCTTGACTGATATACAGGATCACTACTTGAAGGACTTGAGAGTCGTACTCGTTGGTTTTCCCCTATTACCGGGGAATAGAGGTATTGTGAGCACCCCCGGGGCGGCGTTAGGGTTGTGAAAGACGCAGGGCTGAGGTGTGGGCGTTACCTGTAGGGTCACCTCCTGAGGATCCCAGTGCGGCCGCAGGTGTTGCAGGAGGCTCAGGGCCCCCTCCCGGCAGCGCTGCTCCTCCTGATCCTGAACCGTGACATCCAGCTTGGGGACCTCCGGGGAGCCGGGCGGGACGTGGATGTAATTGGCCATGGCCCAGACGACAGCAGAGACTACGACGACGACGACCGCTACGGCGACCACGAGAACGGCGGGCGCCGACAGGCTGGTGGATCCTTCCGTCCCGGGGCGCCCTCGTGGGAGGGCTGGGGGCGCTTAGACTGACGGGCGAGCGGTAGGAGAACGGCTGGAGGCGATACTCCTGCCGACCGGAGTCTGGACAGCAGCTGAACTAAGCCAGGGCTTTTCACGGGAAAAATTCCTCTCGCCTGCGTTCGACCGCCGGTGGCCGCAGAGCATGCTGGGACTGGCCTGACGCTGGCGTCACGCGCGGGGCGGGGCCTCCGCCTGCGTCAGAGCTGGGGGCCGACAACCAGCTCCGGGCACAATGGACTTGGCTGCTATGCGCTTGTTTCCTCTGGTATTATCGGACAGTCCACCCTGCGTGCTGCTAGTCTGAAAAATACGGAGCTCCTTCTCCGAATGAGCCTGGGCCCTACCAAGATCCAAAAAGCATTGAAGCTTTAGCTCACCTAATCAGGAGGGTTTGGGGGTCTGAGTTTGAGGTAGAATTGAGCTTTTCTGGGAAGCAGGGACACATCCTGAAATAACCCCTGGATCAGCCTCTGAATTTGGCCTAAATCTGGGCAGGCTGGATTAACAAGGTCGCCTTGGTCTCAGACTTGCTGTGTACTGAGGACTCCATAGTTGGGTTGGCAATTAAATTCCCTTGAGATGTATACTGAGATCATGGTACATAAAGGAACAAATAGTTAAGATATTCGGGTAAGACAACGACATTACTTCGAGATTTATTTTTAAGGTCAGATGTTTGACTATACTGAAAATTATTCAGAGTCGAGAGGGAGGCGGGGAGTATAGTCTGGGATGAAGATGAAAAGGAAGGAAAGGAAAATAGTTTTGAGGTTTAGAGCTAGACTGGCTGGCTGCCCATGGCAGGGTATCCCCTCAGTGGAACTTAAAACTACTACCTTAAAACTTTTAGTGTCAAAGTCATAGCAGCTATTTCTCTTGATAAGGGAATACTGGAAACTGGATAATCCACAAATAATTTATTAAAACCTCGTGATTTTCCTTATGATTGAGGAAAATGGGCTGAGATTTGCCTCTTAATCCATGTCTCTCGTGTAGCATTTAGGACTTTAGTGGATAGGTTTGGTAAATTAAATCACTAATTCAGCTTAATTAACAATCAAAATGTTTAATTACTTTATTAGCGTGAGTACATTGTGATAGTTCAGAAAAAGCTTACCTTTGTAAATCACAAAAATAGCTCACTGTTGATAACAGTAAACTGCATAAACTATAAAAGGGAAAAGAAAATATAGTTTTACAATACAGCATATGTATTTTTTTAAATCATATACAACAAGAAATACTAGATTATGTGTTCTTTCCAATTTGAAGAGCAATATACTTTCACATTTCAGATCGTATCTCTTGTAAATTGTATGTAAACAGTTGACATTTTAAGAATTTTAAAACTTTTGAATTGTAAAATGGTTTAATAGCAAGTTATAAAAAGTTATTTTGGGAACTGAATAGTATATAATTTTAAAGAGGCATCCATTAACAATTAGAAAACAACTATTAACTACCAAAAAATAAAACTAATAAAAGATGTGCAAGACCTTATGGTTGAAATTATATTAAATAAACCATACTTATAAATAAAAGATACTTATAATAAAGATCCGTTTTCACTAAACTAATCACTAAGTATAATGCAATTACAATTAAAATCTCAACAGAGTTTTTCACAGAACTAGTTAAACTGGCATTAAAATTCTTATCAAAACTTAAGATCCAAGAAAAGCTGCTATAAATTTTTGTAGATGAGGGAGCATTGGAGCATAAATTGAGAGAACTTATCCTACCAAGATTTATGATAGTAACAGTTTACGAATGGGCAAATAGACCAGTAGACATAACAAAGACTTCAGAAACTTTGAATATTACAAAGGCGGCATTAAAAACGTGGATGAAAAAGGGGTGCTGTAATAAATCATAAATTCCTAACTGGGCAGGTCATGGTGGGTAGTCACTCCTCAGGCCTATAACTTCTTCAGTGTAAGGTTTTTAACAAATCCTGTATATTGTGCATCTAAGCTCATATACCAGAAGTAATAACCATTCAAAGGTGTAACCACCCTCAAGAGAGCACATAATCTTGTTAACTATAATCTTGTATCCTATAATCCATTCCCTGCCTTGCTTTTTTCCCACTTTCCTATTATCTTTACATTCTCCTCTTAATTTCAAATGCATAAAAGAAAATGCAAAACTATCATTATTTGGAGCATTTGAGCTCTTGCTTCCTAGTAGCTGTCATCAGTTTTGGCTCAAAGAAACTCATAAAAATTCTCTTCAAGTTTGGACATTTCTTATATTGACAAAAATTAGAAAAGCACACGCTAGTCAATAAATGGTACTGGATCAATTGCTATTCATATGGGGATTTTTTTCTATCCCACCTCATTATAAAAATTCTAGAAGATTAAAAAATCTAAATGTTACATGCAAAACTTCAAAAATATATAAGAAATTTCAGTTTTTATCAACTTGATCTATAGCTTCAATGTAATTCCAATCCAAATTCCAGCAAGTTATTTTATGGATATCAACAAACTTATTCTAAAGTTTATATAGAAAGGCAAAAGACCCAGAATAACAGACGTGCTACTTAAGAAGAATAAAGTCAGAAGAGAGAGACATTACCCAACTTGAAGACTTCCTATAAAGCTATAGTAATTGAGATAGTGTAATTTTGGCAAAGAATAGACAAATAAATTAATGAAACAGGATAGAGCCCAGATATAGATTCACACAAATATAGTTAACTGATCTTTGAAAAAGGAACAAAGACAATTCAATAGAGAAAAGGTAATCTTTCCAATAAATGGTGCTGGAACAACTGGATATCCACATACAAAAGAAAAAAAATGAATCTAGACACTTTAACTTACAAGTTAATTTTATAAAGTTAATTTTACAAAATTAAATGGGTTTGGGTTTGGCAATGACTTAGATACAACTCCAAAAGCACAATTCATAAAAGAAAAATTGATGAGTCAGATCTCATTAAAATGAAAAAACTGCTCCGTGAAAAGCGCTGTTAAGAGAATGAAAAGCCAAGCCACAGACTGGGAGAAAATATTTGCAAAACACATATCTGATTTTAAAACATAACTTGTATCCAAAACATACAAAGAACTCTTCTTAAAACTTAACAATGGGAAAACAACTCAGTTTAAAAATGGGCAAAGAATCAGAACAGACACCTCACTAAGAAGCTATACACTTCACAAACAAGCATATGAAAACATTTTCAACGTTATATATCATTAGAGAATTGCTACTTAAAACAACAATGAGATACCACCACACACCTTTAGAAGGGCTAAAATCCAAAATACTGGCAATACCAAACACTGGCAAAGTTGTAGAAAAACAGGAACTCTCATTCATCACTGATAGGATGCAAAATGGTACAACCACTTTAAGAGTCAGTCTGTAAATCTTGTAAAGCTAAATGTAGTCTTACTGTACAATCCAGTAATCATGCTCCTCGATTATGCAAATAAATTGAAAACACATCCGTACAAAAACCTGTACATGAATGTGTAAAATAATTTATTCATAATTGCTAAAACTCAGAAGCAACCAAGATATCCTTCAGTAGTTGAGTAGATTTTTAAAAACTGGTACATTGGTATCATGGACTATTATTCAGCAACAAAAAGAAATGAAGGATCAATCTATGAAAAAAAATGGAGGAAACTTAAATACGTATTGTAAAGTGAAGGCAGTCAATCTGAAAAGGCTACAGCAGACATACTGTATGATTCCAAACATATGACATTCTGGAAAAGGCAAACAATAGAGAAAGATCAGGGCTTCAAGCAGAGGGAAGGAGGAAAGAATAGATAGGCCACAGAGGATTTTTAGAGTAGTGAAACTATTTTGTATGATACTATAATGGATACTTGACATTATGGATTTGTCAAAACCTGCAGAGCTGTACAACACAAAGAGTGAACTCTAATGTAAACTGGGATTTAGTTCATATTTATATTTTTGATTTAGTTCATATTTATATTTTTGACAGTCAGCATACTGCCTTACTGTAGTAGTTACTCAATAAATATAAATGAATGAATGGAAAAAATATATATATATAGGAAAATATAGGATCAGAGCTCTGTGATTGCAAGTTAAGGAAGTAGTTCTTAAATAAGATTCATAAAGCACACACCATGAAGGAAAAGGACTGATAAACTTGAAAACGTTAAAATGTAAAACTCATGATGTTAAATGACAAGACATAAAGAGAGAAAACATAATTGCAATGTATATTATCAAAAAAGGATTAATATTCAGAATATCACTAATCAGTAAGAAAGCCAAACCACCCAACAGAAAAATGGGCATAGAATATCAATTTTCAGAAAAGGCATTCCAAACAGCTAATAAGCTTATGAAAATAAGGCAATGCAAATTACAACAATGAGATACCATTTCATATCCACTAGTTTGGAAAAAAGTTTGAATTCCGATAATGCCAAGTGTACATTACTAGAAGGAAAGTATATTTATTTAAAAAAAAAAAACCTTTGGAGAACATTATTGCAATATTTAATAAAGCCGAAGATAGGCATTCTTTACTACCCACCAATTTCAATTCCAAATATATACAAAAATGCCACACATGTACACAAGAAAATGTGTATAAGAATGTACATTGCAATATTGTTCATAATAGCTAAAAACTGGCAATAATCCAGTTGTTTTTCAATAGGGTAATGATTAAATAGGTAGATAGGAATAGCCTACAACAGAATAAAAATGGCAGATGGAATATATGCACCTACTTATGCATATATTCAGGAGACAACAATGGCCCTAAAAGTCAGAAATCTGGGGACCAACAGATTCTCTGGTTAGTTTGCAAACAGTTAACTTCTGTCTCTTCTGTCTCCACATGTTTTTATCTATATTCTGCTTCTAATTTCCTTGTGATTTCTTCTTACTAGTTTATCTCTGTGTGTCTCTTTATCATTCAGATCTTACCCAAAAGTTGTTCCCACAGAGTCCTTTTTAGTGCTCCTTTATCACAACAACCAGTTTTATTTTATATATATCACTTACCACTATGTGTTGTAGCTGCCAGCCCCTGAAAGACACATGGACCACCAGAAATCAGTGAGTTATAGAAAACATGCTCTTTATTCAGCCAGCTGGGTCTGCCAGGGGTACGCAGACCCCAAATTAAGCAGCCCCGAAATGTAGAGGTACAAG